CAACATACTGCCTCTTGAAAACTTGGTGGAGAAATAAACTATGAGTTGGTTTCAACTTGATGGTATACAACAAACATTATAAAAGGACAAAAGAAATATACTAAAAACAATCTCTTTGATGATTACCAGTAACAATACAGGAAAAGAGGGTGAATCATTTTCTAGAAAGCCTATCAGCTTTCTTAGGTGTCACTGTGTCTACCATGACTCACAGTGATCCTAGGAACTCTGCACTAACCTCACAATCTATGATATATATGTTTGTAAAGAGTTAATTTGGTAATGCTTTTGTTACGTGTCACCAAGTCAGAACCCACTCACAGCCAACTCTTCAGTGAGATATGAAAGGTTGTAAATCACATAAAAACTGCAGAGATGATGGATTGAACCTGGAGGACAGAGAAGTTTTGGTGATGGGAAAGGCAATTAACAAACATGGGTGAAGTTTGCACAACTAATAGATGAAATTACCACAAAGCATGCAAAAAAAGGAGCTCTGGTGGCCTAGTAGTAAGAAGCTGCTCTACAATCACAACAGCACATGGTTCTAATCCATTAGCTGCGCTGTGGAGAAAGATGGCCAATCTCCTCCCCTGCAATTAACTGCCTCGTAAAATTTGCTGGAGGCACAGTACAGAAAAAAAAAAGTTAATCGGTAAATGCTGTACAATATACAATTTTGCATTAGTAAAAACAAAAAAATAAGTGTGTACTGACACAGATGCATCTGTGTGTATAATGGAGCTCTGGTGTCATAGTCTACAATGAGGCACACTGTTAACCAGAAGGTGAAGCCTCTCTGGTAATCTGAATTCCCTAGTGGATCCTTGTGAGACAGAGGGGTAATCTCATGTAAAGTACAGCCTCTAAAAACTGCTGGAGAATCAAGTTATGAGTCAGTTTCAACTCAATGGCAATGCAGTTTGAATACAGGAAGACCTGAATACATGCATGATCAAATGTACAAGTATTATCTACCTATGTGTAAAACATTTTTGTGTGATGGATATACATTAATTTTTATAATAAAGCACACAGAGGCAATTTCAGATACTTCTTAGACATAGTTAAACAACTTACAGGATTTCTTTTACTGGGTTATGAAGCTTAGGACCATCATGTCATTAGTTAAGTGGCAAAACAAAGTTTATTACAAAGACATTATATATTCTAATTTAGGGAATATACCTGAAGTTTTTCAAAGCATGTAAGCAACCATATGAGAGACAACTCAAAAATGTTTTGTTAGTCGCTGTGAAGTTGATTCAGATCAATAGCGACCACTCTATAGTTTTTAAGATGAAGCACATCACCTTAGTTATGTCTTCCATGATTATGAGTGGAGTTAAAATGCCAACCTCATGGCTAGCAGTCAAGTACTTAATCATTTGCCTCAAACTGTATTATATCTACTTAATGGTATAATATGCCATGTCTTGGGATCTTTCCTAACATTTTACAAACATAATACTAAATCCTAACTAAAGCTAAAAACATTATTACCAAATAATATTTTTAAATAAAACATTTTAAGACCAAAGCTGCGAATGATTTTTAGTCATGGAGAGTACACATTTTTGTTTTCATGCTATTTTATTAACAGAAATAAATTACAAGTGAAATTCATAATCTTAAATAGAATTTGTATCTTAAAGAGACTTTAATTTCTACTTTTTATGTTTGTATTCTTATTCATCTGAGGGAGCACTGATGACTCAGTCCATGGGGAGTTGCAATGCCAATGCAAATACTCTCCCTTGGGTGGTCTAAATCCACCAGCAGTTACTCAGTAGCAATACGAGTAATCTGAGCAATTACAGCCTTGGAAATCCAAGGAGAATCAGCTATGCATTGGTTGCAACTCATTAGCAGTGAGAGCATCATCATACCTTTAAAGGTGTCCTGATGGCATACTGTAAACATGGCAGGCTGCTAATCAAAAGAATGGGAGTTCAAATCTACCAGTCACTCTATAGAAGAAAAATCTTCTAGGAAAGATTTCTAGCCTCTGAAATACAATTTGGGAGGAAGGGAGGGTTGTCACTAAGAGTTCAACTCAGTAGCAGTGGGATTAGTTTGGGTTTATACTAAATCCTCAAGGACCCCTGGGCTAGACTGAAAGGTTTGAATCTACCAACTATTCCACAGCAGAAAGATGGGCAGTAAAATTTATAGGCTTACCAACTAGGAAATAACTAGGCAGTTCCATCTGTCTTAAAAGAGCACCCACACACGCCAAAAAATTTACAGCCTTGGGAACCTGACAGAGGTTTCGGTTTTTATTATACCTTTGAGATACTCAGGTAGTGCAGTACGCACTGCTAACATGAAGTCGAGCTGGAATCCACCAGCTGCTCTAAGGAAGAAAGATGGAATTCACTTCCCATAAAGATTTACAACTTCAGAAACCTGCTGGAAAATCTCCATGAATCATAATCAATAGGCTCAACAGCAATGGGTTGGGTTGAGTACTACATGCAAGAGTAAATTCAGCATTGGGCTGGTAACAGGAAAGGTCAATACTTCCAGTCTATGAACTGCTCATTGGAAAAATGATTGGCAGTTTGCTTTCACTGATTTACAACCATGGAAATCTTAAGTATTGTTCTGTTTTGCCCTATATGGTCATTCTGAGTCAGAATCAATTGGACAGAATTGGATTCATTACAATTCCACTTAGACCAAGCCTGATATGATCATAAAAGAATGACACAAACAGCCAATTTCACTATTAAAAAGTTAAGGTATGCCTGACTACATTGGAAAAAAGAATCCAAATGCCATTAAATATCAAAATAAACAGGAAAATGCCAATCACAAAACATTCTTGGTAAATATAGATGAAACTGTAAAAAAAAAAATAAATACAATTAGGATTTCTTACCAGTGGTAATGACTTTAACTACTAAAACATTGCAAATATAATTAATGCCACTGAATTAGATACTTTAAAATCATTAGAAAGATAAATTATGTTATGTATATTCACCACAATTTTTTTTAAATGTAACTGACCTTCAAGAATTTGACTACGTATACATTTACTGAAGAGCAATGGTGTCTCCCTGGAGACTAAGGTGCGTTTGATACAGGCCATGGTCTTCGCAATCACTTGTTATGCAACAGAGAGTTGGACAATGACCAAGGAGGATAGAAGGAGAATTGATGCCTTTGAGCTGTGGTGCTGGAGAAGAGTATTGAGAATACCATGGACTGCTAGGAAAACAAACAGATTTGTCCTGAAAAGGGTTAAACCAGGTGGCTCCTTGGAGGCAAGGATTCTGAGGCTCCGTCTAACATACTTTGGACATGTTGTGAGGAGAGACCAGTCCTTGGAGAAGGACATCATGCTTGGGAGGGTCGAGGGACAGCGCAGGAGGGGAAGGCCCTCTATGAGGTAGATTGATTCAGTGACTGGGATAATCGGGATGGGAGTGTCAGAGACAGTGCGATTGACACAGGACAGCAGAGTTTAGGGCTGTTGTACACAGGGTCCCTATGAGTCACAAGCGACTCGACGGCACATAACAACAACAAACAACATACATTTACAGCCACTAGATTTCATCAAAGAACTTAGTTGTTGTTGTTATGTGCCATCGAGTCGCTTGTGTAGTACAGAATGATAAATTATTAAGTTTCATAAATTTGTAGCTATACAAAGAGATAAAATTTTGTATATCAAAATCTTAAAAATAAAATACTTCTTCTCTTGATAGTGTAGAAGGACTGGCTGGCAATTTAAGGTGAAAAGTGGAGACCTAAACATTTATATTTGAAAAAAAAATTTATATTTGAAGTATTGACATATTTTTGAAAACTGGCATCTAGTTATTTAAAAGATTATCTATCTGAAGTTTAGCTGGTCGATATATGACCTGATCTCTGGTGGCCCAGAGGTTAAGAAGCTGCACAAAGACACAGGGCTCAAATCCACCAGATACTTAATGGGAAAAGAATAGACAATCTCCTCCTGCATGATTTACTGATCTAAAAATCCGCCAGAGGATTAGCTATAGGTGGTTCCAACTTAACAGCAAATGACAACAACAAATATGACAAGTAATTCCAGCCTTAGGACAGCAGAGAATTTTTTTTTCCTTTCTAAAATTAGCTATTAGAGGACTGGACTAAACTCATAGTAATGAAAATAAGAACTGAACAATAATACTAATTCCTGTAATAGAATAGAATCTCTCCCAGTGAAACCTAAGAAATTACATTAAGCTTCTATTCTATTAGGCCTCAAAGAATTTGGAAGTCAAGAAGGGAACCAATAACATTGTACCCAAATAAACTTTTCTCATTCTACCACCACTCAAAGAAGAATACCAACAAAGAAGTCAACCAGAAAAGCTATTTGCAACAAATGAACTTAGCTTGTGTCAAAACCATCACCACACAAAACTATGCAGTAACAATGGACTAAAATGTTCCTTTTGAAAACCTTAACTCTGAAAGTTTCAAATTCAGAACATTTGGAAACAAGACTAATTAAATGCTGAGCTTGTGTTAACAAGTTAGCTATGCAAGAAAGTTTACAGTACAGTCAAAACTGCAGCAGGAATGTCAAATAATCACTCTGAATCCTCAAGAGAATAAACAGAAGTGACACTTCAAACACCTATCTGAGTTAGTATGGCCATAAAATGTTGGATACAGGACAGTAAGAGAATATACCACCAACAAAAATCTACAACAATGAAAGCCACAAAACTCTGGAATACAACTGTTCATCAGAGTAAAAAAGTATCATAATGTACCATTCTTGCCTTCTCAGGCTCTTTCAGACTAAAAAATTCTAAGTAAGTTAAAACAGTTCTTATTAAAACATTTTATAAAAACCTTATTTAACACATAAAATATATGTACTAAATCATTTTAGTTTTTGTTTAAAGACTGTAGTGCTGACACTGAGGAATAATTATGAACATACATTTTTCCTTTGTTTTATGCAATTCTGTATGAGTTTATAACAAATGAACATGTTTTAAACTCACATTGTTTCTCCAGTCTTGGCTACATGACAAAGAAACTGATCTAGGACAGGACAAACTTCCTTTTTCCCCCTCTTCTCAAAATCTAGATAAAAGGGGAAAAAAAAGAAAATTTAAAATTTCCCAAAACGCCATTAACCATTCCCAATGTCTTCCAAATACAAAATTTTCTCCTAGTCCTTCTCCATATGAAGGATAAGTAGCATCAGCTTTTCAACCTCCAACTTATGGAACTGCACTTCGAAACTGTCACCCTCTTCATGGGCAGGCGTCCTCTTCAAGTAGCGTTTCTCAAAGGATGGTCTTGCCTGGGGCGCAGGCCTCGACCCCCATAACCCATAACACTGTTCATCTAGATTAAGTTCACCAGCCGTTAACAACTCCAGATATCAAAGCTTAATTCTCAAAACTCTGAAATCATGGTATCCATGTTTGGAAATCACTATTCACAATCAACCCTGTTGCTTGGAAGGCGACCACCTTACAATTAAGGCGCGTGGCCAAGATGCCTTCAGAAGCCCTTATTAAAAGTTGTTTTCCGCCCCTCTTCTTTATTCTCTGACCACACTGCCAGGCAGGCAGGAGAACCTAGCACCAAGGCCTAGGGTCGGCATTCCCCCCACCCCCAACCGGCCAAAGCGTCCCCTCCCCCGCCTGGCAAGACCAAAGACACAAAGCGCCGAGGGGGCGGGGGGGATGGGGTGAGGGTGTAAGGGGTATCAGGGTCGGACCGCGCTCTGCTGGGCCAGGCTTTTGGAGCAGACAGCCCTGAATGGAGAAGAAAGGGCCCTGGAACATGAGAAGGAAAGGAGAGGAGAAAGCTACCCCCACCTTTCAGCGCTTCCTGCAGCCTCTCGACGTCCATGGCTTTCCGGATTCCCTCTCAGCCTCAGCCTATGCCTCCCACCGCCGGTCTCCCAAACCAGAAAGCCTCCCCCCACCCCCCCCGAGGCCCTCCCCCTCCCTCGAACACACTCCGGCACGCAGGGAACCGGGGGGGGGGGGCCACCGAAGGGAACTAGGGGAAGCGAGTGAGAGAGTGAGGCTGAGAGAGCGAGAACCTCCCGAGCCGCTACCACCAGATCTCCAACATGGCGCCGGCACGTCACCACGCGCACATTTCAGCCGCCGTCCTCGCGCCCGCTGCACGTCCCCGCGCCGGAAACCCAAAGGCGTGTGCACGGCCTCACATCTCCGAGCTGATATGGGGATTGGGGTGAAATTAAGAAGATTAAGATTGAAACAGACGAGGGAGAAAACTGTATAAAAGGAATATATGATTAGGTATTATTGGCATGACAACAGAATAATAGTTGAATGGTAAAGTGGTCGGGGAGAGGGGGGACTGTATAACAATGAACAACTTTTTTTCCAAAGAAAAAAGCTAATGGGGGGGAGGGGGAGTGGGGACAGGGAGGAAAATGTGTAACAATGAATGAACGGAAAAGAAATTCTTTATAAACTTTCATTAAAATCTAAAAACAAAGACAGGGAACTGCCAGAAGTTCAGGCTGGTTTTAGGAGAGACTGTGGCATCAGGGATATCATTACGTTTCAAATGGATCCTGGCTGAAAGAAGAGACTATCAGAATGTCTGCATTTTATTGGCTATATGTGATATTAATTATATTGTTTGATAATTTCCAAATTCTTTTGGATGACCTTTCTTGGGAAATGATTGTTTTTTTCCCCTGTAAATATAGTCAGTCTGACTAGAGAAATGCAAATCAAATGACAATTTTACAATCAAAATTAGAAAAAATTGAACAAGACAGCAAATCACAAATCCTGGTGAGTATGTGGGGATATTGTAACTTGACCCAACAATCCCACAACTAGGCATATAAACCAACAAAATAATAGATACAACACAGGCCAACAGCTTTGTTTTTGCAGCCTTATTTACGTTGTTGTTGTTATGTGCCATTGAGTCATTTCCGACTCATAGCGACCCTATGCACAACAGCCCTAAACCCTGCTCTATCCTGCGCCAACCGCACCGCCTCTGACACACCCATCCCGATTACCCCAGTCACCGAATCAATCCATCTCATAGAGGGTCTTCCCCTCCTGCGCTGTCCCTCCACCCTCCCAAGCATGATGTCCCTCTCCAAGGACCTGTCCCTCCTGGCAACATGTCCAAAGTATGTCAGACGAAGCCCCAGAATCCTTGCCTCCAAGGAGTAGCTTGGTTTAATCCTCTCCAAGATGAATCTGTTTGTTTTCCTGGCAGTCCAGGGTACATTCAGTACCCTTCTCCAGCACCACAGCTCAAAAGCATCCACTCTCCTTCTGTCCTCCCTAGTCATTGTCCAACTCTCTGATGCATAACAAGCGATTGCAAATACCATGGCCTGTATCAGGTGCACCTTAGTCTCCAGAGAGACACTGTTGCTCCTGAGTACCTTTGAGAGGTCCCTAACAGCAGACTTTCCCATCGCGATACGCTTTTTGATTTCCTGACTGCTGGTGCCAAGAGTGTTGACTGTGGGGCCGAGCAAACTGAAGCTGTGAACACTCTCAATCTCTTCATCATCCATCCTGATGCTGCCAATTGGTCCAGTGGCGAGAATCTTTGTCTTCTTGACATTGAGCCTCAGTGCATACTGAAGGCTGCAGTCCTTGACCCTTCGCAGCAAGTGCATGAGGTCCTCCTCAGTTTCAGCAAGCAGGGTTGTGTCATCTGCATAACAGAGATTGTTAATAGACCTTCCACCAATCCTGATGCCACAATTCTCCTCATAGAGCCCAGCCTCTCGGATAATCTGCTCTGCATACATGTTGAAAAGGTATGGAGACAGGATGCATCCCTGGCGTACACCCTTCCCAATTTTGAACCATGCAGTGTTACCCTGCTCTGTTCTGACTACTGCCTCTTGGTCCAAGTATAGGTTATAGAATTTGAAAAAACCTTCACCAACAGACAAATGGCTAGAGAAACTACAGCACGTTCACAAAGTATTGTACAATATAGATGACTTAGGACAAATTATGCTTAGTGACACGGTGCGCAAAAGAAGTCAATTATAATAAGTGTTGTTGTTGTTAAATGCTGTCGACTATGACTCTGAGTGACCCGAAGAACAATAGGTGTGAAACTTGCCCTATCCTGATCCAACCTCATCATTTCTGATACACCTGACCCCATTGCCACTGTCACTATGTCAGTCCATTTTACCCAGGGCCTACCTCTCTTGGAGCTGACTTTTTACCCTTCCAAGCATCATGTCCTTCTCCAAGGACTGGTCCCTCCTGACAACATTCCCAAAATATTGTGAGATATTTTGTGAGTTTCAAAATCCTTGCCTTTAAGGACCAACCTGATTTCACCCTCTCCATGATAGACCTGTTTGTTCTGCTGGCAGTCTATGTTCAATACTCATCTCCAGAACCACAACCCGAAAGTATTAATTCTTCTTCTGTTATCCTTATTAATTGTCCAGCTCTCGGATACAATTAAGAAGATCATAGCTTGGATAAGGTGGACTTTGGTTTCTAGACTAACATAATTGCTTGTTAGCTTTCTAGAAAGGTCCACAGATTTTTCCCACTGCAACTCGTCTTTTGTTTTACTGACTGCTGTTACAATGGGTGTTAATTGTGGATCCAAGCAGATGAAATTGTTAACAACTTCAATCTTTTCTCCATCTAGCATGATATTGCCTTTGGCCTGGTGGTGAGTAATTTTGTTTCCTTAATGTTGAAATGCAATCCATATTGAAGGCTGAGGTCCTTGATCTTCAGCAGACACGGAAAGTCCTCCTCAGTTTTGGTGAGCAAGGTTGTATCAACTGCATAACACAGATTGTTGTTGAATCTTTCTCCAGTCCTAGTGCCACATTCTCTTTCATAAAATTCAGTCTCTCTAAAGGAGTTCACTATGTAGTTTGAAAAGACATAGAGAAAGAATACATATTTGATGCACTCCTTTTTTATTTTGAACCATGCAATGTTCTTTTGTTCTGTTCAGAGAATAGCTCCTGGTCTAAGTATAGGTTTTGGACAAGTACAATGTCTCTGCTCACCTTGAACTGTCCAGTTCCCTTCTGCTTGAGATTTAGGGGTCCCATATGGTATAGCTAGATACTGATTGATTCAGTGACTGGGGTAATCGGGATGGGTGTGTCAGAGGCAGTGCGATTGGCACAGGATAGAGTAGGGTTTAGGGCTGTTTTACATAGGGTCACTATGAGTCGCAAGCTACTTGGAGGCACATAACAACAACAACAACATACCTAGACTCAGAAATTGTTGCCAAACAGAGCAAGGGAACACTGAAAATGGTTTAAAATTCGGAAGGTTGTACTTCAGGTATATATGCTTTCTTCATACCTATCCAATCTGTACTCTGAGTAAATAGTTTGAGAAGCTGAAGTCTTTGAAGAAGAATATGACATCAGGTTTGGAGGAAGATTCATAAACAACCTAAACTATGTAGATGATACAACCCTGCTTGCTGAAAGTAAGAACTTGAAACCTTACTGCAAAGGATCAAAGACTTCAATATGGATTCCATCTCAACATCAAGAAGACAAAATCCTCATCACTGGACCTATAGGAAACATTATAATAGACAGAGAAAGGATTGAATCTGTCAACAGTTTCACCTCACTTGGAGCCACAATCAACATCCTTGGTACCAGTAGTCAAGAGGTCAGGAGATGTATTGTAATGACCAAGTCTGCTATCAAAGACTTCTCCAAATAACTGAAGAGCAATGATGTCAGCTTGAGGACTAAGATATGCCTGATTCTGGCCATGTTCTTTTCAGTCACTTGCTATGCATTGCAGAGATGGACAATAAATAAACACAAGAGAAGTAGAATTGATGTCTTTGAGTTGTGGTGTTGGAGAAGATCACTGAATATCCAATGGACTGCCTAAAAAAAATAAAATAAAAACCAAAACCAACCAAACAGCAACAAAAAAACCCCCTCTGTTTTTCAAAAGGTGCAGCCAGAGTAACCCTTAGTGACATGGGTGGCAAAACTTCGTCTCACCTATTTTGAGCATGCTGCTAGGAGAAGTTATTCCTTGGAAAGGAATATCATTCTTGAAAAGGTCAGTGGGAAAAAGGAAGATCTTCAATGAGATGGACTGACACAGTGACTGCAGCATTGGGTTAAGGTATGTGATAGATTATGGGGATGGCATAGGATAGGAGGGGATGGCATAGGATAGGACAGGATTCAGATATGCTGTTCATGGGGTTACTATAGTTGTATTTGACTTGATGACACCTAATAACAACAACCACTACCTGGTGTAGCCAATACATAACTAAATTACTACTAAATTAAATGTTTTACTTACTACTTAATTCAATATTTTAATGAGCACAAAATGTGTCATTTATTTAAATTATGGATATAGAGCAGTAAGCAAGAGCAACAAGGAACTTCTTGAAGGAACTGTGTATTTAATTGGGAAAGGTCATTAAACCAATAGTTTCATAGAAGTTAATATTGTTAATGTTCTAATAGATGTTATTATATTGTTAGGTGTCACTGAGTAGATCATGACTCATAGCTAGGGAACTTTATACTCACAGCTAAGTGGCTTAGTGGTGAGAAGGAGGCATGCTGCCAACCCAAAGAAACAAGGTGTTTAAATCCACTAGTTTCTCTGCAGGAGAAGGATGGGAAATCTCCTCTCATGTGATTTACTGACTCTGAAAACCTGCTGGAGGGTCAGTTATGAATCAGTTCCAACTTGATTGTACATAACAACATACTACATTAATCATGGAATGTAACCTGTGTGAAATTACCACAGATTAGCAAGTAAATACAGCAATAAGCATCCATGCTCCACAGTACAAAAACAACTAGCCAAATGTGGTTATTGTGCAGTTGAAATATGCCAGTATAAATAGGGAATTGGATTTTAATGAAAAATTGTAGAACTGAATTTTAAATTTCATTCAAGTTTAATTCACTGAAATTTCAAAAGATTTTTATATTGCTCTTTTATCTTGCCACTCTATTAAATCGGTCTACTAGTTCTAATAGGATTTTTTTGTTGAGTCCTTGGGATTTTCTGTGTACACTATCATATCATCTGCACATAGCCACAGTTTAAACATCTCTTTG